GGAACAGTGAGTAGTACATGCATAGCTATATAGCGCGGGACCCCACGGCGGAACTAGAAGAACAGGTTTGGACGCCCGAGGCTGAACACATTTACAGAGATGGTGAAATGGTGTATGTTACAGTTTAACAGTCTTGTTGATTTTAGTCCTGCGCTGCAATAATAATAAGACAATACTCATCTTGCTGTACTATTTTATCTGTCAGAAACAAATCAACAACTGTCAATTCACAATATGAACGAAATCAAGCGAATAAACAAAAAAAAAAAACAAAAAAAGTACTAATATTACTATCACACAACCTCTTATGTCACACCCGGTACCAGTTTACAGTCTGAAGCGTTATCAATGTCTATTGATATTTGGCAGAAAAAAAAAATGCCGCAACTGAAGTGACAGGACGACTGAGAGAAGTGTTGGAATGTTACGTTATCATCCGGTTACCCTTCTTCAGTCAAGCGACCTGGCACACCGTCAAAAGTGAATCATTGTCAAAAACACGTAAATGACAGGGCGTTTTTCTGTGGTTACAGCGGAAGTCTGTCACAAACATTTTTATGTTAGAACGTGTTCAGGTTTATGACTGAAACAATGTTACAGAGTACATGTATACATAACTTCTATCTTATTGGCAGGCTTACATTTAAGCAAACCTTCGTACACATCTCTAACTCAACTCGAGAAGAATCCGACGTTGGCTTTCTGTAAGATCTCTAAAATTCCATTTTGAGGAACATACATAGAAATCCAACTGTTGAACATAGGACCGAATGTTCCCCGGTCCACAACCTCTAATGACATAAATGGCTCGTGTCTGCAAACGGATGCTTCACCAAGGTTGATAGTTACAACATGATGGTAACATCTTGAAATGTACTATATAATTTTAAGGCCTTCAGAACAACACAATAGCATGCTGCGCAATGTAAAACTAATTAATGAATACAAAGCTAAAGTGGTAAACTTGAATGTACTTTGAAAAGGAAGCTGTTGACGACAGTAGGCTGGTTCTAGATACATGTATTGTTGGCGGTTCCAAAAATTATGGGACCCCTCAAGTAGCTTATTTTGGTGCTATTTCAAACGCTTCAAGTATGAAATCATGACGAAAGTGTGCTAAGAAATGACGGTAAACGTCAATTTCAGACAGATTTCCTCATCCAGAACATTTTGTTCGTTTGCTGTCCTGAAATTACATTGGATGCATTTAAAAATGTGTATGTGTGAGAAAGTTGGGTGGGAAACAGGAAGGGGGATGGGACGTCATAATAGAACGTGAACTATTTCCCGGGACACACCTGTACTAAACACTCACGTACGGTACAGCAACAATAACAGGATGTCAACATGTCATGGTCAAGGTATTTTAGCGTTAACTCGGGAAGATGAGATTTGATGTCCTTTGTTTCGTGTGGCTACGTGAAGGAAACGACATTGAACTTTGATGAAAATCCGGATCTGGGTATCTCTTTAGAAATTTTCTTTAGATTGAACTTACAAGCATTTGGTGTACAGGTTGGAAAAATTGTGAAGATATGTATTTTCCTCACGGGTGGAAAAAGACGAAAGGGGTTAAAGGTAGAAATATGTTCGTAGGCAAACAGTCATTGGATGTCAACATCACCTGCCTTAACCGTATTTCCTAAATTATAGGGAAGCGAATCCGCCCTTACATCTAGAACATGTTCTATTGTACTGTCATTATGGTTCGACGTACCAGAGTTGTTTATACTCAACGAATGAAGCCTGGCTACTTTGTGTTGAGAGTCTAGAATGGGAATTAGAAGTAAAACGAAGTGATTAAGATTTATAGAACTTTATTGCACGACAGTCCTGCACTGTACAATGTATGGTAACAACTTCTGATGTATAGAAGAAAAACTACTATCTAATTACCTAATCACTAAGACAATAAGGACTAACATAAATCTTTGATATAGTGTTAAAGTCGTGTACATGTGGGGCTGATCATGAGTTTCGGTATTTTTTCTATATTTGAAGTTAGTTCTCTGGAAACTTTCCATACAATCTGCACACAAAGACAGTTTTGTTTGTCCCGTAGCTAGGATCAGTCGAACCCTCGAAGCGAATGGTAGATAGGATCTGGCCAGGATTGTTGTTATTCTGTGGGTGTCCTTGGTCCGTCTGTACCCAGACCGGAGCAAACAAAGTAAAGAAGCAGCGCCGACATGACAAGACGTGACATGGCTGAAACATGAAGATCGTTTCTCATATAGAACCTACATGTCCATACAGAAAATGTCACACGAAATTTCGTTCTGTAAATGGTATTCTGTCTAGACCCCAGTCTTATGCAGGAGAGCAAGATTTGCCTGTAAGAGTAACAGGGTGCCCAGATTTTCGAACAAAAAACAAATCATGAGTTCTAATTTTAGACAAAAGACAATATGCCAGACAAAACTCGGGAGAAAAACTACAAATCTTTCATTCACTTTAGTACCTGGAGCGTAGCCAAAGAGTTTACAGTTTGCAAATTAGCTGCTATGTCTCCCTTTTAGTTTGTGTTTCATATTATCGAGGTGCGAGCATTGACTTGCAGCCTTGAAACAGGCCCTAAATTATTTTCTATTCGGGTCCCATTATATTATCTGGCTAATTTGCGTGGCATAACAAAGGCTAACGCAATCCCAAACCGTACTTCAAGGTTGTCTGGGAACCCTGGGCTCGAGAGGGGTTTTCAGGGGGACGAGACCAGGCGAACCTGAGCGAAGTGGCTGGAAGGGAAAGATTATTATCTACAATCTCCACATTGTGTTAGGGACACAAATCATTAACCAATGATATTTCAGTATTAAGGGTGTTACTACACTAAGAAACAGTCATCATTAGACTAATCCATATGGATATGGAGTGGTTTTGAGCCAATTTCTAGACTATTATTTTTCTCCTCGCCAGATACTCGAGTCTATCTCCAAGCAGATCTTTTAGTGGCTGCAAGGCAGTATCCCATTTGGAAGACCGTATTATTGGCAGGACAGTATTCAATACGTTTTAATAACTGATCAGTGCATTATGCACTGGAAAGGTATATAAGTGAGAACTTCTTGTTACTTGTGTCATTTAGCCTCTGTACACTTGAAGAAGCCACACAGGCGACACCGGTCGTGTGACAGGCTGAATAAAAGTTCTAAACGGGAACTATGCGGCTCCAGATGTCTTACTGAGGGACGACTGCGTGTGCAAGATGTCGGTTAGCTGAGGAATGAATCCCCCCGAATTCACAATACGTTTTAATAAGAACTTTTATAGCTGGCGAAAAAGATACCATTACAAAAAAAAACATTAAAACACGTCAAAAATAAGTTGAAGCCTAAACCTCTGCGTGGATAGTACCTACTAGTCTCCACCAGACTTCTTTTGCGGGGTGAATAAATCGTAGAAATCTCGGCGCCGGCCTCGGCGGGGAAATGGAGCTTCTCTGGCCGGCTACCTTCTCTGGCCAATTAATACCCTTTTTTAGGCCGATTTCTACGACTTATTCACCCCGCAAAAGAAGTCTGGTGGAGACTAGATAGTACCGAAGAGCTCGAGGCAGGTGCCCAAAAGGCCAATCATGCAGAAGAATGAAAGACGTCGCCTTTGGCTTGGACCTTTCCCCTCTTTAGTGGAACTTAATAGCTCTGAAAAGCTGGATGAGCCAGGTGATTGGCCGTAACCCACTTGCGACAAATCTGCACACAT